AGTTGTAAAGGACTGGTTGGGCTGCATGGAACTGGACTGGACTTACCGGCTATCAGCGAATTCCGTACGCACATCCTTCAGGTATGTGTTGCGCATGTTATCCACCCCAAACACAAACAGATGGTCGTATTTCTCCACGCATTCTCGGATGTTGGCGTATAGGCGTCTGGTTTGTTCCTTGTGCGACTTCTTTGCGGTCTTGGACTCGTGCACGACTCTGGCACGCTTGGAACGGGGCATTGTCTCGGTGTGGGGTGAAAGGAATTAGTTAGATGGAAGGGTCGTAGCTTAGAGGCGATTGTTTCGTTTCCCCTGGATATGATGCAGAATGGAGGGCAGGGAAAAGCAGAAATTAAATATGAACTCGGGGTTCTGGAAGTGAAGTGGATCCTCCCATCCAGTGATTTTTTTCTTGTCTTTTGACTTTTGATAACAGCCGGATTATCGTTGACGCGGGGTCTTATCCGCCCCGACTCCCCGCTAGTCCGCTTGGAGAAACGAGCTGATGGGGAAGTCTTTCTCCTCGTCCGGTTCGTCATCGTTCGACTTGCTACGCTCCATCTTATCTTCTGCGCTTTGGTTTGGGCAAAGGCCTTTTGAGAAGACGAATCAGCATGTCGTAAAGCTTACATGCTGAGCGAATGATTTGCTGACACACAATTGATTGAGCCTCTTTGTCTCTATCCCCGACAATGCTCGACTTCATGGATTACATCCAACTTGCGTTCGCCGAGGCGACCAACTGGAACCGCGACAATTCATATTCATCACTGACAGCCACTGCGCAGTGTGTGTCCCGCCTGGCAACCCCTTCCAAGTCATTATGCTGATGCTTATCGCCCAGCCCTCCTTGACTTTTCCACTCCGGAACGTCTCCGCGTCCATCTCTCCTCCCTGTCCACGCCGCACTTCGCGACGAGCTACACCCTCGGCACCGTTGGCCTGATCGATGGCTCGGTATCCTACCTCTTCAGCACGGTGCCCCTAAACCACGCCGCCAGCCGCAGCTCCTTGATCCCCCTCCGCAAGCTCTCCCCCGGGTACAGACAAGTACAGGCCCCCGTCGCCCCAATCGAGAACTTCCGCGTCGACTCGATCCTCGACGACCTCAACAACCTCCCAGGTAGCAACGACAGCGACAACGACAGCACCACCACCCTCAGAAACCATGGCCGCTCCCAAAAGGCCACCCTATTCCACGCCACCCTTCACCTCCCCCCACCGACCACCCTGAACGCCCTCTTCCTCCGCCGCATCTCCCCCACCATGCAGCTCTCCCTGGCCGTCTGCTCCACGCGGGGGCCCCCGTTGTCCAAATCCGCCCCGCAGGCCTCCCTCCTCACACAACTCTCGCACAACACCGGCAAATACAGCAACGAGTACCTCTTCAGCACGGACAACGCCCTGTTCGGCTGGCGCGGCCTCTGGAACTTCGGCCCGGATCCCCGCACCACGTCCACCGGCACCACCACCGCATCAACCCAGCCATTGTCCCTTCTCTCCGCCGGTGCGGAAGCTTACTACTCCCCCGTCTCCTCGCTGATCGGCATGTCCACAGGGTTACGGTTCAGTACCCTCCCCGCTGCAACCGATGTGCCTTCTTCTTCGCCCTCTTCGTCCAACAGCAGCGCGAGCAGCAACAGCAACAACCCCATCTCCACCTTCCCGTACACGCTCACGCTAACCCTCACCCCACTCACCGGCTCCCTCTCGACGACCTACTCCCTGCGCGCTTCGCCCAACCTGGCCTTCAGCTCGCGCTTCGGCTTCAACGTCTACAGCTGGGAGAGCGAGATGGTCGCCGGCATGGAACTGTGGCGGAAGAGCCGGCGCGCGGCGCCCGCGGATGGTCACGACGATGACGATGGGCTCGAATGGGCGAGGCGGAAGATGCGCGGCGAGAGACACCCCCCTTTGCCTTCTTCTCCTCCTCCTCCTCCCGTCCCCAAAAGGGATCCCCTAGGACAACAACACCACACAGGCAAGAAGGCCACCGGAGAAGAAGACGCAAATGAATCGGTCCTCAAAATCCGCGTGGATCAGTCCTGGAATGTTCGGTTGCTGTGGGAGGGCCGCGTCAAGGAGCTGTTGGTTAGTGCCGGTGTGGGGTTGGGGCCGAGCTCGTTTGCCTCGTCGCTCTCGTCGCTGTCGTCGATGAGTGCGGCGGGAGCGCAGAGCTCCGGTGGTGGTAGTGCCGGGGTCGGGAAGTCTTATTGGCATGGGTTCGGGATTTCAGTCTTGTACTCTTCTTGAGAGTTTTCGGCTATTTGAGAGGCTGTGTATATACTAAATTACTGGATTTTACGAAGCGTAGAAGCTATTTGGACTTGGTCATTGATGACTAGAAAATTATAGATCTTTGTGGTATTTTGAATGGACATAGTCCTCATCGGTATATGCACTTTCATATAGTCAAGGCGGGAGGGGAGGTGGTACCCCGCCTTGCATGAGGGAGATGCTTTTACACATTAGCCCCTACCAGCAGGGCCAGCATGTCGGATTAGGGGATTGACGTTGCTGGCACATTGATCGGGTATCATATCACGTTATCAGACGAGAGTCGTAAGTGCTTACAGACGAGCGTTGATAATGTCGACGACTGGTGGATGTTAGTTTTACGACCCTGAATATGATCAAACGGAGGAAGAACGTACAGGCAGGCTTCAAGCTGGCACCGCCAACGAGGAAACCATCGACATCGGCCTCCTTGGCCAGCTCGCGGCAGTTCTTCTCGCTGACGGAACCACCGTAGATGATTCTGGTGCTCTCGGCAGCGTCGGCGGAGATGGCCTCGGAGAGCCACTTGCGGATGGCAGCGTGGACCTCCTGGGCCTGCTCGGTGGTGGCGACCTTGCCGGTACCGATGGCCCTGTGGGAAATGTCAGCATTCTGAAACTCGACTCTGGGTATGGGGTTCTTGGGATAAGATGCAACGTACCAGACGGGCTCGTAGGCAATGACAACCTTGGACCACTGCTCCTTGGAGAGCTCCTTGGCGACGGCGTTGAGCTGTCTGGTGACAACATCGATGGTCTTGTTGGCCTCACGCTCCTGTAGACCCCCAACATGTCAGCATACCACCATCGAGGTCAACTACTAGCTCAATGGAGAGTTAAGCTACAAAGTGGGGTGGGGTAGTGGTGCCACTACTACCCAAAGGGATCCACACAACATACCTCAAGAGTCTCACCGATACAGAAGATGACACTGATGCCACCGTCAATGGCGGCCTTGACCTTGCGGGCAATGAACTAGCAGACGAAGAGATTAGCCCAGGCCATTGGGGATTGACCTATGATGCGGGCGGGATGGCAATTGGGGCACTGGAAACATACCTCGTCGCTCTCCTTCAGGATGACACGGCGCTCGCTGTGGCCGATGATGGTCCAGTTGATCTTGGCATCCTTGAGCTGCTCGACACTGATCTCACCGGTGAAAGCACCGTTGGGCTTGTCGAAGACGTTCTGGGAGGCAACGCCGATCTTGTTGGAGGCGGCCTCGCGGGCAGTGAGCAGGTAGAGGGAGGGAGGGGAGATGACCACCTCGGCGGACTCGTCGAGCTTGGCCTCGTTGAGGTTCTTGATGATGGAGGTAATGCTCTCGGCAGTACCGTTCCTTGGTTGGGGATGAGTGTTAGTTTAATGTTCTGCAGCCACATCGTTTGTTTGTTTTCCTTTCTGCTGCTGCTGCAAGCTGGAAAGGGATTGGGGAAGGTCATACATCTTAAAGTTACCACCGACGAAGAATTGGCGAGGCATCTTGAAGGGTTGGGTGTGTGAGTGGAAGAGATGGGAAGAGAGACGGAAGAGGGGTATAGTGGGAGGGTGGATTGGAAGTAGGGATAGTATGGAGGAAAGAATGAAAAGAAGAAGAAGAAGAAGAAGAAGAGAAGGAGAAGAGAAGAGGAAGACGAGAAGAAATGAATGACGACGAGGAAGACGAGAGAAACACGGAGGGGGGAGAGAGAAGCACGGCGGGGCTCGGGCCGGTGTGAGCGAAAGGGAAGGGTTGGGTTTGAGTGAGTGGGTGTATGGCTATGGGAGGAGGGTCGATGGCGGGGCTTATCGATAAGTCGCTTTCTTACTTCCTCTGAGCTGGCAACCTCCCCCCCTCCCTCTTCTGCATCCATTCTTCTACCTACTCGTTTCGCCCTACTGCAATTGGGTAACAATCCGCGTGACCTGCAAAGTCTGTCTGCTACTTCACTTCTCCTCAATTCATGTGCCTCAATCGAGTCCAGGTGTATCCATCAAACTAAATTCGTGTTGGAAACTAAACACACACCCGCTGCAATGACGTTATAGCATACCCACATCCCCCCCCTTCACCCGAGGATACGCCCGAAAATTAAACGGAGAACTTAACCGGACAAAACAAACTCCCGATCCACCCCTCACAATTAAACTGAATTGCTGCATGGGACTCAGCGAAGATCGTCCAACGGACGATATCGTCGGGGATAAAATGACCCTGAGTCACGGAGTGACATGCGTCGGGGCAGGTAACCTGCACTGTCCCACTCCTCCTCCAGGACCCGCGCTTTGAGGTCTAATAGTCTCTCGCGATGCTCCAGTCGCGCCTCCCGATCGTCCAACATCCGGGTTCGAATATCGTTTCGCATCCGTCCGCCATCATAGCGGCCAATTCTCTCTTCGACCAGTTGTTGCATGTCCAACCCTTCGGGAGGAGCAGGCGCCTGGATAACCTTGGGCCGTTCTCGGGCCGGCCGTGTAGCTTCTCGGCTCAGAATGACCTTAGGGTCGTTGTGAATACTCTTGGCAGGAACCACATCAATGGAGCCAGCAGGGTAACCACTGCGACCTGTCCCCTGATTTGAACTGCTTTTCGGAGGCTGTTTGCGATAGTGCGTTCGATAAACCTGCTTGGTGCTGGGGGCCGAATGGCGCCGGTAGAGACTGCCTCGCCATGGTTGAGGTTGAGGGTTTTCATCAGCTTCTGACTCCTCATCAGAGCCCTCGGACAGTGAACTTTCGTCGTCAAAGTCGAACTCGGACTCCCCATCGCCCACGCTACTCGACTCAATGCCTAAGTCTGTCTCTGGCTCTGCGACGGGCATTGCTGCGTTCAAGTGATCAGGCTTAGGATGCGCCGGGGCATGGACCCTGGTCTTACCCAGCTCATGCATCTCGGGTGGCTTCAAAGGGCTAGGTTGGAGTTGAACATTGGGACCTCGGTGGACCGTACCCGGTGCGACAGAAGCTCCTCGAGGATCATTCCACATGGCCGGCATCTGTGGGATGACCCTTTGCGTCTCGTGCTCTGTAATGGGAGCTGCAGGATCATGAATTTCCGCAGAAGGACGATGCTGTGGGTGCGCAGCAAGCGGCATTCCCTGCTGTATCCAGGCCGCCCATTGCTCTTGAGGGGTAGGCCGCTGTACTCCTGTCGGGAATGAATGCTGTGGTGCAGGAGGTAGGGGCTGCTGGTTCAGCCTGGAAGGCTGTGGCTGCTGGATATTTGCCATGTTTGCTGGCACTGGTCCTTGATGGGCGGCAGGTCGCTGATGGACGGCAGGCCCTTGATGGACGGCAGGCCCCTGATGGACGGCAGGCCCCTGATGGACGGGCCCCTGATGGACGGCAGGCCCCTGGTGAACAGCAGGTCCTGCGTGCCTAGCCGACGGATCAGTTGGAGGAACAGTATGGCTCAGCCTGGGTTCCTTATTGAAGAGGATATGACTGGTAGGCATTTGAAAGGTGCCTCTGGTAGGGGCTATTCTCTCCACAGGTTCATCGACTGGAACCTGCGGGTATACTAAACTTGCCGCCTTCTTCAAGATGATGACTTCTAACGAGACCGTCTCATAATCACCGCGTCGAGAATTTTTTCCCCTAACAGGCTTCTCGTCCTCCTTCACATAGACGCAAGTCCATTCGAAGCGGGGACCGCTGGACCTGAGCTCGTGAATCAGTTGGTCGACGTGGGCCCGCTTCACTTTGGACAAAGAATGGTATTGCTCGGCCACGGGTAGCTTCTTGGTCCGGTTGACCACCATGTTCATCAAGTCTGATTGGCTGAGGTGCATCTTCGCTCTCTCAACCTGACTCCAGGTGCTCTTCTTCCCGGGGGTGGGGTTGGCCTTGAAGAAGGTATACCCCAAGTAGAAGAGGGGAGCGGCAGCATCAACGTCATTCATGGCAGCTATGCCTCCTGGCTTCTGCGTGTTCTTGCTGGAAGCCCTCTCGGTCTGTACATGGAGCCGGTTCATGGAGTTGATCAAGTAGTCTGGACTCGCTTGGCTTTGTGGGTTGAGCGATACTATACGAGGCTGCTCGTTCGATTGAACAGGTGGGTGATGCATAGGAGGGACTGGGGGAACTGGAGGGACAGGTGGAACCCGATTGTCTGAGTTGATCTTCGCCATACTGTAAGAGGCGGCTCCGTCTGGAGAGGATGGATGGGATCACAGCGAAGAAAGAGTGAGTCTGAGGATGGAAAAAGCAAGAGTCACAGCACTAAAGAGACGACAAGAGGTAACCGGGGCCTCAACGACGAGATATGCGGATATTTTCCGCTGCAAACGTTGGGAGGGGGGAGGGGGGCGGGGGGGAATATTCAGCACACATGCGTGCGTCATATATACTGAGGGAGGAAGTCCGTGAAGCGGACTGGAGTCAGTCCCCGGCACTCCAACGTCCGGCAAACAAGCTGTAAGAATGTTTCAGACCGGGCAGACGCTCGTTGCGTTCTGCCTTGTCATTAGAGAGAATCCCCGAACCTCAAGGTTTTCTCAGAAAAAAAAAATCCCCCGAAAGTAAATACAGGTAAGTCATGATTTGCTTTTACTGACTGCCTGACTGATTGTCTCTCTGATCACCCATCCCCATCCATCCATCCTATCGAAGAGCAACGCGCCGGTGACATTTGCAGGGCGTAAAAAAAAAAGAGCCCGGGCAACGATGAAGAGTCAGGCTGAATTGAATTCAATGTAATTTCGCTGCCGCCTTTTCTGTATTCCGTGGTTTCTTTTCTTTTGTCGCCTTCGTCACCTCCGAAGACCACGGCCTCGTATTAGTATTCTTACGCCTCAGCCGCAATGAAATCTGAAATTGGGGCTATGCAGGGGATGAGAAACACCAACAGCCCGCTATGCCGTATGCCAAAAGTGAAGTTGGATTCACAATGCTTAATAACTACCTAGGGAGGTACGGAGTACTGCTAGAGAGAAAACCCTCAGCTGCACCCCCTTTGCCTGCATTTACCTGCAGAGTGGCTCATTTTCAGTCCAGGCAACAGAAAGCCTAGCTCTTTTGTAGCCTGCCTAACCACTCAGCGACCAGTTCCAACACTCACATCCAACGAAGGTGTTCGTCGATTGGGTGGCGGGGGGACTTGCACGGTCAGGATCATGCAGCCAAGCCACTGTGGCGCTTAAAGCGCCCTGCTGCAGAGGTGCAAAACAACTACAAGCCATCCTTCCACCCTCAACGGACATTGGACAGGAACACATGGATCGGCACTTCACCACAAGCCAGGTGGATCCCTTATCGCGTTGCATATGTATGGAAGATGCCATAGACGCGGCGCGACATACTTCAGTGCTTCACCCACTTCCATCACTTCCGCTGCTCCCAATTTCTGAGTAGCTCAGTTCTGCAAGCATCCGCACTGCAATCGGGGGCTTTCCTATTCTTAGGAAATCTAGTCTACGCACATAGGAGGAGACCCTGACCGTGTTGGTGGGTGGTTGCGAATCTTCTTCCATCATACTCCGTACAGGCGTGCCCAGTTCATCCACTCCCACCAGCATTATCCAGGCGACAGCCACGGCAAGACGCGCAAATCCTCTTTGTAGATGGACATGCTGATAGGCCAGTCGGGGTGTGACTCACCTCCTCACTCCTGCAGGTGCAGACACTTCAGGTTCGAGCGATGTGAGCCCAGCTGAAGGGTCCGTCATCATTGGTCTCTCTGTCTCGCATTGTTCCTACGTTAGTCTTTCGGATGATGGAATGGCGACTATCAGACTTTATTCCATTTGCCTGCTCTTTAGAGTCAGAATTCATTGAAGGTGAAATGCAAGAATGCGATAGCATGGACAAAGACGAGTAAAGACATGGGGATTGTTGCTTTTTTAGGTCTGCCGGTATCCATAAGTTCTTTGTGAACTTTGTGACCTGACGCTCATGAATTCTTTATCAATTCTAGGAAGAGTTCCGGCTTCTTTGTTGAGCCACCGGTTTCATGTCCTTGTTCCTGCTTTGTGTCGAGGCAACCGACACAATGGACTGTTGCCGCAATGGCTTTCACACACTGACCGCCAGCTTTTGTATTCCCGCCGTACTCTTCAACATCACCAGAATGAAGCCATTGTTTCCTGAATCTCTCCAGCATTACCTGCTTTCTTCCTGACAATTCTTTTAATCTGCTCTTAGGAGGACTATGAGAACTCATTTAAAATCGAGCCCCCCCCTTTGGCTTTCTGGGCCAGGAGGGGTATCCAGACGAATACTACACTATATGGCCCTTGCTCAACAGAACCACGAACTGATCTAAACCACTACCGAGAGTCACTATGAGTAGCTTTCCAGTACGAAAATGGGGCTATGATTTTCGACACCTTATTGACCTGATTGTCGGTGATAGAAAGCGCGATCCTGCGTACACCGATAGTTACCGCCACATTGCGAGATACGATTCAGAATTTGCTGCAGTCATCCATGATCTCCTGGAACCCGGGACTGAACTCGCGAACAATTTCCCAGACCTTCATCAACTTCTCTCCCGTCGCTACAATGCAGCCTTGGCTGCTCGGGAAACAGAAGTATCCCAATGCTGGCACACCAATCCGGATAGCGGCGAGAGATTCGATAGCCACAAGTACCAGACTCGGCTTCTGCAGCACCCGGAACTTGAAATACGCAGTGATGACGAGGAGGGGAAGATAGATTCCAGATGGAAGTTTCTATGCCAGATCCTGAAGGAACAACACTTCGTTATCCGGGGCATCATCGGCAGTGGAAGTATGTCCTCCCCATTTGGGACTGTCCTGCAAGTGCTCTCGGCTCACCGTTGACCCTTTTCTTCACTAGGTTACGGTATTGTCCTCCTTGCCCATAAAAGTAAGTTGTCCCCAAGAGTATTATGCGACTGTATGGAGCGGTATTTGACTGATAATTCTCTGTTAGGAGGCGATGAAGGTCGCTTGTACGCTATTAAGGTGGAGAACCTGGTTACAATCGCTACAACAGTGAACTATCACGAGAAAGTCAGGGTTGTCGGCGCGATTGGACCCTCACCCGTAGTGGCGCCCTTATTCTTACAGGACCAGGAACACCACTACATCCCAGTTGAGGCGTATATTCTGCTTCTAACCAACGAGTGTAACCGGTTCCCGACCCTTGACTCGGTTTACACCCACCTAGTCTACCAGGCCATCGTGATGTCCGCCCACCTCGATCGGGCCGTTGCCGATGCTTCTTACATTCCCGAAAACCCTGAATATGACGAATTGCTCGCGCGGAGATTCAAGGCTTGCACCGCCAGTCAACTCATACTGAAAAAGGAGACGAGACTGGAGGCGCACATGGTCTGCAAGATTGCATCTCAACTCCTGGAGGGGGTCGCCTATTTGCGGGACATGCATATCTGCCACGACGATCTCAAGAACGATAATTTCATCCTAGAAGAAGACTTGAACGTACGTTATTTCACCCTTTGCCTTGCCACCATGCTTCCTTCTTTGTGCGGGAGTCCCGGTAATCTTTTCTCCTTCCCATATGATCGACTGCTCACTCGCGAATCGGATCCAAACAGACCATCATCATCGACATGGGACTCTACACATTCGGACTCACCAATGACGACTACCTCAAGGAAGAATACACCTACGTACCCGCCTACGAAGGCAGCCTTACACCGGAACTGGCCCTCGAGCTCTTCAAGCCCGACTATGTCAAGGAAGCGAGAAATTTTTGGCAGTTTTACATCAAGCTCCCCCACGACCAGCGGATGGTCGGCCTGTGGGTGCTGGCCTCGAACATCTACGAGCTGCTGCACGGATTCGCGCCCTGGGAGGACCCCGAGTGGGACAATGGACTCTGTTGTGTGTCTGATTGGCGGCAATACGGGTTCACCGGGAGCAAACGCACCACCACCATCGCGCGACTGAACGTGGCCAAAGAGCGGCGGAAACGGGTCGTCAACAAGGAGCTGCCGGTCTCGGAGACGCTCTCGCAGGACTGCGCCGACGCCATGCTGATGATGTTCGCCAAGGACCCCGGGGACCGACCCACGCTGCCCGAGTTGGAGTCCTGTGTGTGGTTCGGGCAGTGGCTCTACCAGAATGACGATCCCGGAACGTTCGAGCGGCCGGTCACCAATCGTGAAATTTACCGGACAAGGATGGAGAGAGAAGATCTCGCACAGAAGCAGCAACAGCAGCGGGCTCAGCAGCAGGCTCAGCAGCAAGCACAGCTACAGGTCCAGCAGCAGGCGCAACAGCAGGCACAACAGCAGGCCCAGCAGCAAGCCCAGCAGCAGGCACAGCAGGCGCGGCTCCAGGCTCAGCTCCAAGCTCAACTCCAGGCTCAGCGGCAAGCACAAAACCTGGTTCAAATAGCGGTAGAAGTCAGCCAGCTTATCGCAGACAATGATGGCGACCAAATGGAAGAATAGGCGTGGATGGCTGTATTGTTTTGTTTATTCTTTTCCCCCCTTCCTCCTCGTCGGAAGGCATTGCTTGATGATATGTGGTGTTTCTTTAACTCGGCAAAGCATGGATGTCTCCGGGGTGGGCGGAATGCTTCAATATCGGTTTGTAGAATAGTTTTTGAGCCCGTTGCATTGGTATTTGTGGGCTTTACCTGGAGCATAGAGGCAAGATTAGGTCATGAGAGACGACAGAAAAGTATAGATTTATACACGTACAAGGCTAAGCCTTGGAAGAATGATAGATGCATTATGCCCGATCCCGAAACCCCTAGCCACAAACGTGATAACAGCGCAAGAAATAAGGCAGAAACAAGACTTGAAGAAAGCAAAAATAAGAGACATCACAGCAGTAGCGACTCGTGTCATATCATCAGCGACGAAGACTATCTAGTCTTGCCTGTAAGTCATCATCGCTTGCGTTGCCAGCGGCCCCGATCGGCTGCGCGACTCTTGCCTCACCCACGGCCGTCTTCTGTATATCCGTCGGCGTCTCCCCCAGCTAGATGACAGGAAGGAGGAGTTAGTATACGGAAACCACCACAACACACGCATCCCCATAGGTGGGGAACAGAGGGACTATCACGCACCGCCTGGCTCAGGTCCACGCCAATCTCATCCAGCACCTCCTTGACGATATCCTCGCTGTCCTCCTCCTCGCCCTCCATGCCCGTCGCCTCATCGATCGCATCGTCCATCATCTCCTGCCGTTGGTCCATGATATCGTTCTCGCGCTCGAACTCCATCGCGATGCGCTGCAGCGCCGGCAGGTTCATCTGCCGGTTCATACTGCCCAGCAGCATCGTCGCCCCCTTCATCGACTGCATCATCTGCTCGTTACTCCGTACCGTCTAGTGTTTGGGTATGTTAGTTGACATCCGAACCCCAATCCACCCTCCCCCAACAATCCAAACCAGTCCATCGAGACCGCAAAGACATACCTGAATCCGCAACGAAATCGCCTGCAACTGCGTGCGCATTTGATAGAATTTCTGAATGTACCTGTTTTTTCCTCATCGCATCAGACACCCTTTCTTCCAAGCATCGCAGATCGTAGATCGCATGGCGTAGCTCACAGCTGGCAACAATGTACGGATACGGATAGAGAAGAGCGTGTGCATCGTGTCTTGTGTCTGTGTGTGACTAGGCTCCGGAAACATACCTCCGCGTGCGCACCAAGTCCTTGGCCTGGATCTTGCAGGCCCCGATCTGCCCATTCTTGGCGCTCTTCTTGATGTCCTGGATGAGTTTCTTCTCCTGGTTCTCGAGCTTCACACGCTCACGGTCGAGTTCGCGTTGGGTGCGGTCGAGGGCTCGTTGGTGTTTGCGGAGGCGTTCGGCGGGCGTCATGCGCTTGCCGAAGGCCCATTCGACGATCTGGGAGTGTTCTTGGTTAGGATTTGGGGCTAGGGATTGGGAGGGTTGAGGGGAGGTGGGGTGATTTTGCGACACTTCGGGACATGTAGGTTTGATTGGAAGGGTTGGGTGAGAGAACTTACGTTCATGGTGCTGGTGTTGTAGGCAGGATTGGGATCACACCACGTTCGAAGGAGAGGGAGGAGGGAAGAGGGATTATCGGACGATTGGGGATTGTAGTGGTGGTAATGGTGGTGGTGGTGGTGGTGGTGGTGGTGGTGGTGTTGTTGATAAGTAAGGTAACCTTAGTGAGTGAGCCTGTGAGGGACGACCAGCCGCAAGTGACATCAAGGCCAGCCAGCCGGAGTTAGTGTATTGTACTGCTGATACTGGCGTTACCCGTACAAAAGGGTGCTGAATACATTTCTGATACCGATAATACCGCCCACAGTCACATGCAGGCCCGACACTGAATCCTCCCCCCACTAAACCCTTTTCAGCCAACAATGAACGAATTATTTTCCTTCGTTGCTCTTTGCCTTTTGCCTCCCGCGCGGAATTTCCATGATTTGCTGAGTGCTTCTCATTGCTTGCTTCTTGCTGCTTTCCAGTACTGCTGCTGCTGTTCCAACTCTGGTGCATGCATTAATCATTATTCCATCTTCCATTCCTGTTCCATCCATTTATCCTTCCATCACTAAGCCAAATCTAATCTCCCTCGCCTCCCGTGCACGGCACCTGCACCCACTCCCACTTCCACTCCCACTCCTTCCGTCCCTCCGCGACTTTTCTGTCTTTCCTTTCATTCAACTCTTCCAGCCACGGGGTTACGCCCACATGCAAACAACCACCCTTTCGCCATGAGTCAGGAGTATTTCCCCGGCCAAGGCGCCTCTTCTTCCTCTTCTGCCGCCGGATCCTCTTCCAGCCAGCAGCAACCGTCGCCCGAGGACTCCTCCGCCATGAACGGTACCCCCTCGTTCGTCCCGAGACCCCCGCCCGCGTATATGACCGTCGGAAATGGTTCGACATCCGAGAGCGCAACGGCCTTGATGGCCTCGTTGCATGAGGACTCCGGGTACGGTGGCAGCATTCCTAGTGGGAGCGTGGTCGATGGTGATGCTGGCGCTGCGGTTGGTGGCGGATGGCGAGCGGATCTGATGGTCGATAGCCCGACTCCCATGCATGCGCCCTCCCCTCTTGGAGCATGGAACCCGGCAGGTGCGTTTCTTTTTGATTCTCTTCGTGGAAGAAGATCCGTTCTTCTGAAAGGGTGTCTCAACTAACGCGTCGGAATCTACAGCTGAGCACGAGCGTCAGGTCGTCGCGAGCCATGTGCACCAGTTACTCTAGTACGTGCGCCCTAGTTTCGTCGTGCTGTTCATCAGCGACACGCATCGGTCTGCTCTGATACCTGTCGAAAATATGCTAAGACTTGGGGTTATAGTAACTCGAACCGGACCAAACTCGGACGCGCCATTACGCGCACTATTGAGACGTTGAAGGAACTCCAGGACATGAATCGGCAGTGGCCCGCCCATTATCCCTCCGTCCAGAATGAGCTCGAGTCCCCCGACGACAAACCAACCCTGCACAAGGCACAGTCCTTCTTCGGAGATGACGCCCTGGATTCGATGCCCCGTCCCGGCCAGATGCGGCGCGCCGCTACGATGACCGCCGGCGAGGATCTGGCGGAATCGAGCGCAGCCGCGCAGCGTCGCGTCCCCACGGAGCCCCGGCTGATGAGCCCGCAGATCGCGCAGGAGTTTTCGATTCTTAAACTCGACTTGAAGCTGGGAGCCCTGTCGCAGGCCGAGTTGGTTCACTCCTTGGAAAAGGCATCGATCGCGTCACTGTTGGATGGAAAGATTAGCCAGAGCGTCAAGCATCTCCTCTCGCTGCGGGATCGGATTGAGGATACTTCCAGCAAGGTCCTGATTACCGGTGATCTGAATGCCGGAAAATCGACTTTTTGTAATGCACTGCTGCGCCGCAAGGTTCTGCCCGAGGATCAGCAGCCATGCACTAGCATCTTCTGTGAGGTTCTTGATGCCCGTGAGAACAGCGGTCTGGAGGAGGTGCATGCTGTCCACAAGGATGTCCCCTACAACCGCAACGACGAGAGCACCTACGACGTCTATGGGCTGCATGAGCTGGAGGATATCGTCATCGACAACTCAAAGTACATGCAGTGCAAGGTCTATGTGAAGGATGTGCGGACGATCGATGAGTCTTTGCTCAACAACGGAGTTGTGGACATCGCGCTGATCGACGCCCCTGGTCTGAACTCGGATTCCTTGAAGACGACGGCGGTCTTTGCCCGACAGGAGGAGATCGATGTGGTTGTGTTCGTCGTTTCCGCTGCTAATCACTTCACTCTTTCTGCGAAGGAGTTCATCCTCAATGCTGCTCACGAGAAGGCTTATATGTTCATTGTTGTCAACGGTTTTGATCAGATTCGCGACAAGCAGCGGTGTGAGCGGATGATTTTGGACCAGATCGGCAAGCTCAGCCCTCGCACCTATAAGGAGGCAGCCGAGCTGGTCCACTTCGTCTCCAGTAACGCCATTCCCGTGGCACCTCCGGTCTCTGTTTCCAGTTCGGGCGGTGGTGGCGATGATGGCTCTGATGATGACGAGCCTGAGGATAAAGGAAAGGGCAAGGACAAGGGCAAGCAGCGGCAGAAGATCCAGGACTTCGAGAATCTTGAAGGTTCTCTGCGCCGGTTCGTTCTGGAGAAGCGCTCTCGCTCGAAGCTGGCGCCTGCTCGGACATATCTTCTGAACTTGCTCGCGGATCTGAACTCCCTGGCTGGAGTCAACCGTGATGTGGCCCAGGCTGAACTTAAGCGCGTCACGGACGAGCTGGCTGAGCTGGAACCTGCTTACGAAGAGGGCAAGAAGAAGAAGGTGGAACTCAGCGATCAGGTTGAGAAGTACATCGACGAGTCATGCGACGATGTTTACAACCACACCCGGTCTAGCTTGGGTGAAACCATTGCTCACGTCTCCGAAGCCGACTTGGGTGTTGAGTACCCCGGTCTGTTCTCTGCATTCCAGTACGCCGAGGACTTGAAATTGGCGATGCTGGATCAGATCGCCGCATCTGTCGCGGACTGCGAGGACTATGCTCGGGACAAGACGGTCAAGGGCGTTGGCTTCATTCAGAACATTGGTCTTTTGCACGTCGGCGAAGACAAGTTTGCGCCTTTGAACTTCCGCGCCGACATGATGTTCCGGCGTGGTCGTCGTCACACGCTTGCCAGACAGGTCGATACCGAAGTAGAGATTTGGGATTTCTTCGATATCTCCGGTATCTGGGAGCGGCAAGAGAAGATGGCCGGTACGGGAATGGCGATGACTGCCGTGACTGTCCTCGGAGGCCGAGCCTTTGGTGGCATTGGCTGGGTTGACAGCATGTTCAGTGCTGTTCGGTTCTTGGGACCGAACAATGTGCGCCGGCTTTTCCTGCCTGGTGTTCTGGCAATTGGTACGTTGTTCTGCTTTTCCCTTTTTTGTTGGATTTTCACTAACAGTAAACCTAGCCGCTTTGACTGCTGCTTGGATGGTTTCTACCATCCCTACCACCCTTCCCCCTCGTCTCTCCCGCAAGCTCGCAGCTACTCTCTCAGAGATGGACTACGTCCACTCCAACGCTACGCGTATTTCCTCCGAGGTTCGCCGCATTCTGCGCCTGCCCGCCGGAAACCTCCAGACCAGCCTCGCGCAAGACATTGAGGACCTCGGTCGTCGCAAGCACGAGGTCAGCAAGACCAAGCATGAAAGCGAGACCGCCAGCAAGTACTTCTCGAATCTCTTCCGCGAGAGTGGCGAGAACCGCAGATCTGTGGAGAGCATTGACTTGGATGCTCCTCTACCTGGTGGTCTTGCGGCGGCTCATTAAGCATGGATGGGGTAGTTTAGAGGTTTCGCAGGTGATTTCCTTTCCTTGTACAAACCATAATGATGCTGTACGAACTTTTTACTATTCCCATTTTGCTGTGTGTGTGTGTGGTGTGCTTTGGGCCTTGTGCCGCCTTCCTCCCCTGCCCCCTTCTTTTTCTTCTTTCTATCACCAAAATATCCCGTCGTGTATGAGTTACAGCTCTATTCTTTCTTCTTTCTTCTACCTCTTCTTCTACCTCTTCTTCTATCTTCTTCCCAGTAATCATGGCACGATTGGTGTGCTACACACAGACGAGAGATAACTTGAAAAAAATCTTTATCAGATTGATATTCTAGATAAGATCTTGTGTATGTGCCTCGCTTAATCCTAGTGGCGCTAACTGCGTTATTGTTGTCGAAGCTATTCAAAGCCCCCGGCAACGGACCAGGGTACCGACCACGTGGGCTGCCGGTCCGTGCGTGCCGTCCCGCACCGGCTTTTCCCTTAACTCTGACCATGCCCTAAGTCGATCTTCTCACAGATGTAGTCCCGTAGCACGTAGGCTTCTTGACAGGCTGTTCTTGAAAGAAGGCTTCTTCACGCCCGACTTCTTGATGAATGCAGAGTTGAAAGACATCTCTTCACAGCTTCAGTTTTCAGAGGATGATTCCCTCACGGAAGTGGTCGGCAAAAGGGGGGATTCTGTCACTGGGGTCGTTTTCAAAGGCGATTCCGTCACCGGGGTAGTCCTCAGAGGGTAAATCCGTCACTGTGGTAATCCACGAAAGGCAAATCCGTCAGTAGGGTAGTTCTCAGAGCTCAGAATACACTGGTAATAGTAGTAATGATCGCATTTCTTCACAGGTTGTCCACCTGTTAATTGTATACTCAAGACCTCAGCGAGCCGAAGGTTGTCTATTCAAACTCCCTCCATCTCCCTCTCAGATCCTTTCTTCCTTCTCCCTCTCTCCTCTTCCCACCACACCCCACACCACTTCATGTGGTCTTCTACTCAGTCTTTTCCTATCTCCCGTATCCTTTGTTGGCTCTCTCTCTCTCTCTCTCTCTCTCTCTCTCTCTCTCTCTCTCTCTCTTTTATGATACATCTGTTCATCTAAAGGACATACCTTTGTGGTGGGAGGAGTCGCTCCAGCCTTGGGTGAACCAAGCGGAAAGACATGGAACGACGACTCCCGGTGTGGGGTGTTCTGTCTTCCATCTCTGAGTCTTCTTTTCACCCAGCTCCACGTGGCCTCCTACTCAGACCTTGCAATTCTCTATGTTCTTTTACCCTCTAACTTTCATACGATGCATGGTACGGAAAGAACATGCCTTTGTGAGCGGGGCTTGATCCCAAC